GGTCTATTCTTTCATTCTTTCACACACACCAATGAAAGAATAGACCATTCCAAGCTTTTACTTGTTGTTAAACAAATGTTTAAACAACTCCACTTATTCCATTACATTGTTGTTAGTTCTTCCACGAAACAGTCTTATGTCTCATACTTTTACTCAAAACAATGATTCCGTGAGACAGCATCAATCGTGTTTTTATAAAATTTTATTGAAACATAATCGTGCAATGCATTATTCCATGAAACTGTACCATGTCTCCCAGTTTTACTGTAACAAAACCGTTCGATTTCGTGCGGTTTTTAATTTCATGAAACAGTCTCGAGTCTTTCAGTTTTACTGTAACAACTTTGTTTGTTTTCATGTTGTTTTTTATTCCATGAAACAGTCCCGAGTCTCTCAGTTTTATCAAAACAATACTGTATAGGTTATGTTTCAGCGTCAAACTTGAGAGCTTATAACCCTATAAACTGGGGTTCGATACCCGTGATGGAAACAGCACGGACAGTCTATTTCATTGTTTTGCGCTTAAGTACCAACAAATACAATCATGCTGAAGCCACGAAGATACTTAGCTGCCTGTGTAAAATGTTTGCTTGTATGTAGTTAAGCGCAAAACTGCACAATGGGCTATCTGTTCTCTGCTCACCACGGGTATCGAAACCCGGTCTCTAGCGCTGTATGTCCGCAAACATACCGTTGTGCCACTGGGAGTCTGTGTAAAGTGAAAATTTAATATATTTATCTAGCAGTACAAAACTCAATTAATTTTTGAGATAAGTTTTGAAATAATTGAAACATTCTTATCTCCCAAATAAGTTTTATTTGTTCAATTTTAAAACCATGTACTAACAGTTTATCAAAGACAACATTTTTGAGTCCTGAGCATAATTTGGTAAATTGAGAGAACTGAGAAATTAAAGCATTTCTTTCATTTAACTGTGGTATGTTCGGCTCTAAAAATTATAAGTCTTCTTTGTTTTTTGTAAAATTATCCTTTTGACTTATTTCATATCCTGTAGTGGGAAAATCATTTTAAAAATTAACACAAAAATGGAAATATTGAATACAATTATGTGATTCCGTTGAAGTAATTTCCGCTTCAAGCACATCTTGAATATCTTGAAGAACGCTTTGGTTGTTTCCAGTGCTAGTATCATCTGTATATATATATAAAAATATTAGTGAAATTTTTTGGATAGCATTTTTGATCTAGATAATACAGAGTTTATATGAGATTATTTTTTGCATAGGAATAATAAAATATTTGTAACAAAGCCAGACATGTAAATTTCAGTAAACTGTAGATATCTTGAAAATGTTATGATTGTAGTGATATACCTGAACATAATGATGTTTTTTTTGTTTTTTTTTACGTTAGTGGATTTGTTGGATTGCATTTTTGATTTAATAATGCAAACTTTATTTATTTATTTATTTGGGACAGGAACAATAAAAACTCTGGAACAAGCTCAGACATGCCAATTTTAGTAAGGTGTGGTTTTGGCTTTTTGGTTTTTGTAGCTGAGTTGTTGTTGTTTGGTGTGCTTGGCCTTTGTCTCTTCTGGATCATTTACTACTGCGGTGGCGTAGCCTGGACCCGGGACGTTTCAAAGCAGCTTAACCTACATTACATTCTCATGATTGGTGGATTCATTTTTTTCAACGGACAAGGTCAGTCAAATACGTATGTTTTCTTTATCGTAATAATCAACTCGAATATTTCATGAACTTTGAAAAGAATAATATTGATTCTATTAGTTAAACTTAGATCAACAATAAATCATTTACTTTTGAAAAGCAAATCATTAGAAAGTTTTAGTCTACTTTTAAAGATAAGTTCAGTTGAGTAATAGTTGATCGGCATGGCCAGGTGGTTAGGGCGCTCGACTCGCAATCAGAGGGTTGCGGGTTCGAATCCCCGTCACACCAAACTTGCTCGCCCTTTCAGCCGTGGGGACGTTATAATGAGACGGTCAATCCCACTATTCGTTGGTAAAAGAGTAGCCGGTGGGTGGTGATGACTAGCTGCCTTCCTTCTAGTCTTACACTGCTAAATTAATGACAACTAGCGCAGATAGCCCTCGTGTAGCTTTGCGCGAAATTCAAATAACTTAAATATATAACCAATGTATTAAAAACTATTTAAAATTATGCAACAAGCAGAAATATAAATGAATGCACGTATAATATTACCCTTATAATGGACATTGAATTTAATAAAATACTCATTTTCGCAAGCAAATAACTGGTAACACGGTCAAGTTTTAATTATCGTGATTTCAAATTTACAAATTATATCGACCAGTAAAAATACTAAGGATACTAATTAAGTCGTATTTCATATGACTTTTTATAAGAATTTTTGTCACTGGTTTGCATTGTTGGCGATGGTAGATACAGTTTAATCATGGAAAAGAATGAGACTGATTCAGCCAAGGTGTATGAGGCAAACTATAAGTGTGGGGGGGGGGGGGTATTTGACCGAGCGAAGTGACGAAATGTGCGCCACAGTGCACCCATTACGGCCGATGTCCATAGCTCGCCTTAAGGCCTAGGAAGCTCTTAGGTTCTGGATTGAATTTTATCTATTTTCCTGCTTTTCCTGAGAATAATTTTCCTAATTGTGATGCATTTTTACTGGGATAGATTGAAATGTTGGAGGCACCCCCCCCCCGCTTCCAATGCCACGGTTCAGTGCTTATATAATTAGTTTAACATTACAAGCATTCAAAGTGTCTACCACCGTGCAGATACAGCTTGATCAAAAAGAAAAGTTTGTTGTGCTACTTGTAGTTTCATTTTATTTCACTGCCTGGTTCTTTATAGCCCATCCTGTTAGTTCTATTATTAATCACATTACGTCAAGCAATAGAAAGTAAATGATGCTTTTTCTAACCTCTATATTTCATTTTGCAATCCTCTAATCAAGTCTTAATCCCGACAGCGATCCTCGCATACCGTTGTTTTGCTTGTTGCAAGAAGATCTACACCAAAGTGATCCATTCCGGCTTCTTCGTCTTAGCCATATCGTCTGTCACAGCTGGCCTGATGTCAGCAATTAAAGCTCATGAAGATGCTGCAGATAAACACTTCTACAGTTTACATTCCTGGGTCGGCCTTGCTACCATGGGGATGTTTGCATTACAGGTAAATTGAATAGGCTTCTTGCTATTATACTACTTTTTTGAGAGCTGGCCTAGTTTCTTAGTTTGAATATATTCACATTATACGTAGCTTAGCGAGAAATGTTTTACGCCTGAGTTTAATGCCCTTTTTCATCACATGAATTTTACTATACAAGTTTAAAAACATGTTCTGAATTAAATTGTTGGCTAACTTTTTCCACTGGGAAAACACAATCAAATTTTTCAAATCATAGGTTTTCTGGAAAAATTTCCATAGATAACCCAAGAAAGAGCTTTTATATAGAAAAAAAAATATCTTGAAGTTTTTGCTAAAATAAATTGGTTTCTCAAATACGATCTACGAGCTCAATGATCTTTAAGTTTTCTGATATCAAATCAGACTTTTGAGTTATAATTGGACGCATTTTTTTTTTAACAAGAAGCGGCGATTTCTAAGACAGCAAAAACTCATGTAAAGGAGAACAAAAAAATAAATAAATAAACTTAGGATAAAACTTGAAGCATATAAACGAAAAAATTATCAACCCGAAAATCATTTTATGTAGGTTTGAATTTTATACGCAAAAACTCAACTGTCCATAGATATGCAAACTAGTATTTAAAAAATGATTTCTTTTGTCAGTTTGGTAATGCTAAAGGTATTAATGTCACTGAACTTTTTATCATCTATGGGGCAACTATACTTTTATATATATTATCCATCTAAAGCTTTGCTACATTGAATATCTTATGATTTTCTGAAATATTATTTACACGAACATGTTAGGTAAACAAATAACGTATCAAAATGCAAAGATATCAGTTCAATTTATATTCAAGTGTTATTAAACTTACATGATACTAAACCTTTGTTGAGCAGCCTTAAGTTACTAAACCTCAAAGTTTAAGTACAGCATGTCAGCGTTAAGTTGCTAAATCTTCAAAGGTTAAATACAACATATCAGCGTTAACGTACTAAAACCCTAAAGGTTAAGTACAGCATATCAGTGTTAATTTAATAAGCTTCCAACGGTTAAGAACAGCATGTTTAATCATATTTTTTTTAGTTTATGGTAGGGTTCGTATCCTTCTTGGTGCTCCTCTGCTGTGACAACGCTACTATCAAGTTTCGGCAGCGCTTGCTGCCAACACATATAACTTTTGGACTAATTGTGTTTGGCATGGCTATTGTGACTTGCCTCACAGGTTTGATGCAGACAGCTAGGCACACTCTAAGGTAAGACATTTTAATTTCACACTTGATGATAAGATAGACTAAGTCACTTGGTAAACTGGAATTAAGATTAAAAAAAAACATTTTACTAGGGTAAACTTAATGTCTGGAGGTACAATTGAGTTACATAAGATTAACAGGTTGACTGTATATAAATGTTATATAGAATCAAATTAGTTACATGGGTTAACTTAATGTCTGGAGGTACAATTGAGTTACATAAGATTAACAGGTTGACTGTATATAAATGTTATATAGAATCAAATTAGTTACATGGGTTAACTTAATGTCTGGAGGTACAATTGAGTTACATAAGATTAACAGGTTGACTGTATATAAATGTTATACAGAATCAAATTAGTTACATGGGTTAACTTAATGTCTGGAGGTACAATTGAGTTACATAAGATTAACAGGTTGACTGTATATAAATGTTATATAGAATCAAATTAGTTACATGGGTTAACTTAATGTCTGGAGGTACAATTGAGTTACATAAGATTAACAGGTTGACTGTATATAAATGTTATATAGAATCAAATTAGTTACATGGGTTAAC